GATGCGTCTTGACAAGCTCTACAAAAGTCTCTTAAGTTAGAAAGGTGATTAACTTAGTATAAAAAAAGTTTTAGATATGTGCACGCCACATTTAGAGACCTCCAATTTTTATAAGTAATTTGAGTCACTTTTTACTATGATTATTCTCTGGTTGACTGGTGAATCACCAATTAAGTTTTATGGCCTTATGTGAATTTATTTTAGTTTTTATAAATACCATAATTGATATATTCAACTTCATATAAATAAGAAAACATGGCTATTTGTTAAAATTGAGCTTAATAGTAGTCGTAGTTATGGTTATACAGATTATATTATATATATTCATAATAACATAGTATTGGTGGATGAGGCCAAGTGGAAAGATCTCGTCGAAGGCATAGCTCAATACATTATGAAAATGCACACTGTAGCAGAAAAGTTAGACAAATGCAAGTGCAATAAACTATCAACAATTTTTAATATAGTGACTACAGGATATAGTTGGCAATTCATTTGCTAGACAGGTTCATTAGAAAAACCAATAGTTGAAGTTTCTGAGGAATACTTATGTAGATTTAAAAAAAACACGAAGAGCTTAAAAGACGTGATCGAGTATATTATATAAATTCTTCAAGCACAAACCATGTCATTTCAAAATGATAATAGCCGAAATGATAAACATGTTTCAAAACGCAATAAGAATTTTTTCGAAAGCTGACCATATATGTGCAGACTGTAATTGCTTTTAACAGTTTATTAATAAACAGACCCTCTAGTTAGTTACCTTTGAAAACAATTATTACTTGGATCTTAGATTGGCAAAATTAATTAGTATCTGTAAAATGAAAATCGATTAAGTTTAGCCAAAAAATTGTAGCATCAAGAATTTTTGCAAGAGTGATTGTAAATAAGAAACACATTTATCATATGCCTACTTAATATCCTAACAGAAATATAGTTCTCTGTAATAAAATATATATATGCAATTGATCAAAAAATAATTTATATACCTTTCTCCTTGCAATAAAGATTTATTAATATTCAATTCTTATGATCTAAAGTCATGACAGGAAAATATATAATTTTATTTGTTGGTGACTTGTACAATTGAATAATTCAATGTTTATCATGTAATATTATATTTACATACTCCCTAGCATGGGTTTGAAGTCAGCGACACCTCTAGTATGGGTTTGAAGTCCTCAATATACTAATCTGATATAATTGATTTTAGTAACACATCATGCTTCAGCTATAGATGGAAATTCTCAGAAAGATCCATCACCAAAAATCTGCTTTACAGTATATCGGTACCTAAGCTCAAGACATACAGCATGTTGCATACTTTCTTTTTGTATACACTATTTAAGATTGGATGCATTATTATTTGTAGGGTTGCCATCAATATAATTTATATATTCTTTTTTTCTTCTTTTGGACAAAATGCAAATGCCACCAAGTGATGAACAAGATATTCTTTTCAAACGATTTTTCGATAATCTATATGCAGTGAACCTTGGGTGATTTCACAATATGGTAACTGAATTCTTCCAAAAGGTGAAACTTTGAATTTTTGTGAATCAAGCTCTATTTCCCTCCACTCTTCATTTGGATCAGGCTCTATATGATCTTCATAGTACATCTAACACTAGCCACCAGAAATTTTTTGCTTTTAGCTACAACATTCTGAAATATAAAATTCTGAAATTTTGAGTATACCACTAGTGAGATGGATAGAATCCCAAATCTGAACAACAATTCCGTCTAGTATTTTCTGCACAATTTTTCTGGATCCAATATTGCTGTAATTTGGAAATATCCTATATTCAGTATTCTCTTTAGAAGTTACTGTCGAAGAGTTAAGCAATCGCTATAACAACTACCATCTACTCAGACAGTTTATTATTTTATAGATCTTGCTTGGCACTTAGAGACATATACAATGACACTCACCACACTTCTATACACAAGTATTAACTTTATTAATTCGTTTCTTACTCAATTTTTCTAGTCAAAAAGACTATTGAATTCTTTATTTATATTTTACTATTTATGTGATTTAAACAATTACATATCTTGTATTATACTTTAACTATTTTATTGTTATTAATTTAGTAAGCTTCTCAATCACTATTAATTAACTGTTATATTCATGCATTAATGATCATGGTATTTATCATACCCAATCTTGCATAAACTATCTCACATCTACAATTCCAATTGATCATATGGTCATGTAAGTCGATCGATTCATACTTTCGCTCACTTTTCGATTTATTAACCATTTCAGTATCAATTTATATATCTTTTACAAGGTATAAAAAACTCTTAATAAACTACAAGATATAAGCTGGATTCTCATTGGTCCTTGTCCTCAAAGACTATGTTGTTTATGCTCAAATCTTTTTTATCTTGATTTGGAAATTCATTGTTCTAGGTAAATAATTTCTTTACTCTATTTCTTGTTATAGGGTCTTTCAACTCACTACTATCTAACTTATTTAAATATACCTGTTTATATTTTTTGATTTTCTGTACCTTATAGGGCCCCATCCATTGATAGTCTAACTTTCAAGGCATTGTCTCCAACATAAAATCATAAATCAGAACCAAATCTACTATTTTACCTTTGTCTTTCTATCATATATTTCTTTCCATTATTGTCTCAATTTATTTTTTTTGTATTGCACACTTTTCAGATCCTCTACTATATCATTAATTTGCTTGGTTCAATACTTCAATAGTTTGTTTGTTATCTATTTCTTCCTTGCAGTATAAACTTGGTAATTAATTAAATAAGTGTTATAGCTAGTGATATAACCTGGGTTGGAGCTATATGAGTTATCTATAGATAAATGGATGACCCAGATTGAGTTGTAGCAACCCGGGTGGAAACAGGTGGGTTGACTTATCAGTTAATTTGGATTTGCTCAACTTGTGATTTACAAATTAAATACTTGAATCAAATCTAAAAAGTCTGATAGAAAAAAAAGTTAAATTAATTAATAATCAATTCGAATTTATAGATATTATATAAAAAAAAATAAAAAATTAATCGCTTTAATTTTTATCAAATTTATCAATTGCTATTATTTTTAAAAGCAAAATTTTGCTTATTGGTTAATACAACCTTTTATTCTATATTAATTTTGCGTTTGTTGGTAATAAAGGTCCAAGGTTTACAATATTACCACTATATAAACTCAATAAATAAGTTTTTTGCAAATAAATTATTTGAAGAACCAAGTTTTTAATAAATATTATATTTTTTTAAAGTCTGGTAAACTAAATCTATATAGCTTTCGCAATAATTATATTTTTGGTAAGATGTTTTTTAAATAAGTTTTTTGCAAATGAATTATTTGAAGAACCAAGTTTTTAATAAATATTATATTTCTTTAAAGTCTGGTAAACTAAATCTACACAGCTTTTGCAATAATTACATTTTTGGTGAGATGTTTTTCAATCATGTTTATCAAGTTTAACAAGATTTGTAAAGTCTAAACAGGTTTCTTTTAACAGGAATCTTTTACAAACATGAGATATTGTTTTGAAGAATTTTTTTTATTCTATTTTTTTTAAATTAATAATGTAATAAAGACATCATTTGTTTATATAATGAAATACTATCGAATATACATTACTGCATTATTTTGTTTTGGGTCAGTTAATGTGTCTAAAGATTACTATCCACTAATCTAAATAATATATAAAATTTTTTTACTATACATAATAGTGAACGTGATTTTATATATTTTCTGGAACTGTTTGCTAAAACTCAAAATTATTTAATTTCCAAATATAGTAGTGCATAATTATAAGGAAATAAAATAACAATGTAGTTCTAATCTAAAAAAAAAAGCAATCAAATTAATGTCAAAGCCTTACTAAAAAGAGAATAATTGACATATTAATATATAACTTAGCTTAAGAAAAGTACAAAATAGTTCTCTAAAATTCAGCTAATAATAAATTGTATGATTTTGACTGATAAAAGTGATCAAGAATATCTACAAATCTATAATTAATATTTTAATAAAGAAGATGGCATTATTCAAGCAATGCATAAATTAGAAAATAAAGAGCAAAAAGCCTATTGCTATAGTTGCTTGAAGCTTTGTATATTGTGTAGAAAATATTAATATCTTATATTAGATCTTGAATAGTCAAAGTTTTTTTTGTAATCAAAATTTTTATTTAAGAAACTTATTCTCACCTCAGTAATTTAACTCTTGCATTAGCATTTAAGTTAAATAATTTCTTGCTAACTTATTTATAAATTAATAAAATATAAAATATATATATATATTAATAGCTACTTGATAAATTTTTTGATTAAATTAATCTATAGATAGCAATATTGAATATACTCATAATGATATAGTTCAAGAAATTGATGAAGAAAATACTCAACTTATGAATGAATCAACTGTGAAAAAAATTAAAGTAAATATTTCGAAATCAGATTGTCCTCCAGGCAAGAAGAGCTATGTTTGGCTTTATTTTAAAGTTGAAGAGAAGTATAATGTTTGCAAAATAATCAAATTCAAGAAGGATAATAAAGTTGAATATGGAAGAGATTATAAATATGATAGTTTAACAGGAAATATGAAGAATCATTTTTTAGTAAATCATGGAATCTTATTACCAAATGCTAAATTTCAAGTAAAACTAGATGAAAAATACCAAATGCATATCGACGAAATAGTTAAAAAACCACATTGTGCAACTAAACAAGCAGAATTAAAAGGACTTACTACTAAATAGCTAGTTACTGATTCTTTGCCATTTAATGTTGTCCATAAAATGATTAATTGTATTGATTCAGCTTTTGTATTGCCTAGTTATAAAAGCATTAAAATAAACCTTTTTTCTGCTTATCAAAAGAGAGTATTAGATCTTAAGAAATTAATTTTTACCACATGTGAAACAGCTTCTATTACAATGTATTTCTATAATAATAATAGATATATTGGTATAACATTTCATTGGTTAACTCCAAACTTCGAGGTGTGTAATATGATACTAGCCATTGAGTATTTCGACTATCCACATGCAGATAAACAAATAAGAGACTATTTAGATGAAAAAATAAAAGATTATGGATTATTCAATAAAGTTTTTTGCATAGTAACAGATAATAGTGCAAATATGAAAAAGGCTATTGGATTACTGGGTAATATAGAATGTCTCTCTTATTCTGCTCATATTCTTTAACTTGCAGTAAATAAAGCTTTAAAAACAATCGAACTATATATTAAGCAAATTTGCAAGCTTATTATATTTTTCCAATCTTCAAAACAATGTTAATATCTTAATCGAGTACAAATCGAATATAATATGAGTAGCAAGTCTATTTAATTATTTGGTTCTAAAAATTAATCTGAAATTTTATCTAAAACAGAAATAGATGATGATTTAGAAATACTTGAAGAAAAAGAATTAAAAATTTTACATACTATTACAGATTCAAAAACTTAGTGAAATTCTACTTACTACTCATGGAAACGGCTCCTAGCTTTGTGTAGAGCAATTGTATAGTTTTTCGGAACATTATATATGAAAGACAAGGATGGTGCTAAAGAAGATTTTTGTAAATTAAAATATCTTGTACTTGATAAAAATGAATGGAAATTATTAAAGAAAATAGTACAAACATTAAGCTATTTAATAAATTAACAACTTCTTTAGTAGAATTAAATATACCACTTTTTCAGTTGTTAACACAAGTAACTAAGTGTTAAAGCTTGAATTTTTTGGTAATACTATGCTAAAAGGTATTGAAAAAATCATTAATGATAATAGTATATATAAAAATAAAATAAAATAAAAAAACATTATTTTTTATTTTATTTTTTTTTAAATTTTAGATGAAATAGATAAACCCTTATCTGATGATAATAATAATATCAATAAAACCTCTGATAATGATATACCACAACAATTGAATATTTAAGAGCAACTTTCAAATCAACAAATACTCTTAAATCTCAAAAAAGTACTTTATAATTTTCTTTGCCATTATTGGGATGATCTAAAAGATATTGGGCTAATTGGATCCATGATTAAAAACAATAAATACATGGTTAAATATAATACAAAATGATACAATTGAGAAGTTATATACCGAATTTGAAACCTGGCAAAATATATCCATAGCTAATAAATTAGCTAAACATATCGAACCAACATGCTCATCATCAACTCTTTTCTTTATAGAAAAGATTTTTAGTCAAGATCAAAGTCAAGGTTAAAATTCAAATTGACAATTACCTAAATATATTAATTATACAAATTCAATCTCAAAACATTACCGTATATTGCCAAAAATAAACCACCTCCAAAAATAAGCTACCCTTTTTTCTTGGAGAAGAAATATAAGAAAATTTGTTATTCCAAAAATAAGCTACCCCTGATAATTTTTTAAAATCTGGAAGTAGTTTATATATATATAAGTCAAAATTCTATTAAGTAAATCGATAAAAGTCACTTAATATGGGTTGTTAAGGACATAAAAATACACATATCCTGAAAGTTTAAAGCAAATCAGAGAACTTTTTACTAAGATGTTTTTGCATTTTACGTTCAAATGTAAAATGCAAAACATCTTAGTAAAAAGTTCTCTGATTTGCTTCAAACTTT